TTCAAAGATTACCACGCACTTCAGTTTCTTGCAAAAGAGATACTGAAACCAATGTATAATATAGTTTACAAACGATATCTCAGCGGAGACGATTCTTTCAAAAAGGAACATCTCATGGGTGATTTGTCGTGGGAATCGGCCATTGTTCTGTAAGGTCTCCTTTTATTTGAAAAAGACAGCAAAATCGTTATCCAAATATTATTCATATTAAAGCTATTTTCACTGACTAACTCATGAAAGCTCTTCTCTGTAGACTGAGACAGATAAGCGCGAATGACTCGATTTCTGCCCTTTATGACCTGATAGACACAACAAGCCAAAACGCACATCTATTATGGTATCATAGTCCGCAATTTGTCGCTGACAGTAACTTTAAAACTAGTAGTAATCCATAAAAATCAACCCTATCACTTTATGCAATGAAACTACTTTTGAGAAGGAACATTCATGTACAAATAAAATCTTGAGGCATCACTCTCTCGTCATGCAATGCGTATTTCATAATTGACATTCAAAGGATTGATTATTTGGCAATTTTATCCCGTACAAATGTAACGCAGACTGAAGCTGCTTTTAAGATTAGATCAAAGGCTTCTTTTCTAATTTTCGCTTCAATGATCGAATATCCGCGGTTGTTCATTAGACCTTTTTACATTTAGTTTTGAAATACTCTAATCGAAAACGAGTTTTGCGTCTCATCTCACAAAAACCTTGATTACACAGAATAAATTACAAGATTACTTTGCTAATGAGGTTGAGGTCAACTTTGTTCTACGAATCCTTCATGGCTACAACCATCAAAGTTTGGAAGCTTTTCTTTGTCAATAACGGAGTTTCAGCAATTTCATTTTTGTTTTAGCCATATCTTCTCTAACTCTCGAATCGTATTACAATATTTTAACGATTATATCATCAACTTAGATTTCATTACAACAATTGCTAATATCTTCATATTAGTATTATGAAAGCTTTTTGTAATGAGCACATTTTAAGATGATATCCTTCGTTAAGCTGAAGCGGTAAACAAAGTGGCGCGTGGGCGAGCCCCAAGCGATAAGTAAAACACTATTGTTCCAATTATTTTTAGCCTAGAATCATCAGAGATGATGTATAATAGTCAAAGTAGTGAAACTTCCTTATAAAATTGTAACATCGCATTATTTAATTATAAGAGAAAACTCCAATCCAGTGATTAGCGTAGCTGCGTATTCGATCCACATTGGTTAGGTGGCAAGAGGTCTAAA